CAGGGCCCCCCAGGCACCAGGCTGACATATGGATCCAGAGCAGGGGGGATAAGGGCGTCTGTCTTTCAGTGAGCACTGCCTATTGTGCTGAAAAGCAAATTGCTGGAGAAAGACTTGAAGCGCCTTCTGGACGTCCTGTCGTGCTGGAGAATACTGGCCACTTCCTCCCCGAAGGGCCAGGCTTGGGCACCTGCCCACGTGACAGCGTTGGTGCCATTTTAGTCACGTTTCTAGCACTCAGGGTCACCTGCTGTGGGGAGAGCTCGGTCGCAGGGGCTGGAACTAGCGGTGCTGGGGGAGCTTGCCGTGGTTTCCATCATACGCAGGGTTTACAGTTTGGTTCAATGGCTCTCAGCGCCCCCACTATACACTGTTCCAGGCCCCCTGCTCGGTACTAACCCAGCTCTTCCTGACCTGGCAGTTTGCGCTGATCGAGCGGCTTATTCATGTTCCCCTTGTTTCACACACGCTTGTAATTCTGCTTCAGCTGCCTCCTGAGCTGAAGCAGGTTGCTAATGCATGTACATGCACACACACACATACGCACACACACATGTGCACGCACATATGTGCACGCACACACATACATACATGTAGGAGAGGGTCAGCCAGAACTCTGGTCTCTTTTCTTTTTCCAGATTAAAGGGAGATTAGATTTCCCCAGAAACAAAGTTTTGGCTCCCAGCTGTTACTCGTCATGTTGCAAATCGGATCTGGAAATGGCAAAACTCTTTTTCTCAGGAACACTGACAGAGGCAGCATGAATCCTGGCTCCACAGAACCTCTGGCACCGGAGAAGCCATCTGCCTTACGCATTTCCCTGTACATGGTGCATTTAGGAGCTGTCAGGCCAGGACTGCAGACCGCTTTTCAGCCTTTCCAAATCTCTAGCCGCTGGCTGAGCCGTGACTGAATGTGCCAGGCAGGGTGAGGAGAACGAGGCTGCTTACTGAGTGGGCATTCCACTTGAAAGGGCTCCAGTTGGCAACTGGCAACTAGAGACCCAAGGAACAGGTTTGTTTGGCTTGGTGGGTCCCCCAAATGCGGCCAGCAGAGTCCAGTTGATGGATTTAACGGAATCTGCTGTAGACGGGGACAAAGCTGCTGCCTACACACCAGTCCCTGGCAATCAGCAGCAAGGCCACACATGTTCAGTGCTCACCTTTGTGCATGCAGAGCATTGCCCGGCTCAGTGTTTACTGGGCGAAGGCTAGGACAGTCCCTCATTCGCACACTGCACTAACCCCACCCTGGGGGCACAGGGCTCTTTACAAACGCTACCGGAGCTGGCAGCCCTGCCATGCTGCAGCGAGCTGCTGCCTCGTCTCCCAGCAGGCACGTGGGAGTTGCATTCCCCAGCGTACAGACCCTCTCTGATGGGGCGACAACCACATCTGATGGGTCTCTTCTCATTTAGAAGGTTTGATTGTGCAGTGCACAAAAGAGACTCCCCCAGGCACCGCGTGCTCTCCCACAAAACCTTGCCTGTCTTCAGGCAAAACAACAACGGTTTGCTGTGCACAGCTGCCCCAGCGTGTTACCACCATGGAACAGTCACACAACCCCGCTCTGTCTCGGAGTCTCCCCCTCTCTCGTCACTTCTCCTGCTGGTTGCTCTGATGCGCTGAGCTTTCTTTCAGAAGATGAGCTGGTGACGCAATGAGGTCATACGTGTCAACGTTTCCTCTCAGTTGATGAGACCACGGCTTGAAAACAAGTCCTCTGCACTAAGCTGCAGGCAGGCCTGGCTCTCAGTGTAACAGCTGTAACTAGAACGGGGCTAAGGTTTGGATCCAAAGCTCCCCAGCGACGGTTCAGGGGTGCTTGGGGCCAGGCCATGGACAAACGTTGCACCTCCCACCAGGAGTGTCCAAATGCTCAGCGGGCAAACTAGCTACAGGACCCAAGAGAGACTCTGTTGGTGTAACTTATCCTTTCCCTGGGCAGGACAGTGGTTGGCCCGCAGGGTGCCATGAGCAGGGAATGGCTTGTCCTACCTCAAGGAGAGGTCAGCCCCTCTCCGGAAACAGCTGAATTAGCCCTGTGGAGGGGAGCCCTAGACCAGCTCATGAAGATCTTTTTGCAGGACTCGTTTGCGCTGTCTTTTGAATGCATCACAGAGCAGTTATTGCCATTTCTCCTGGAGGGTGACCCCTACTCCCCTCCTTCCCATACAATGGCTTTATCTATCCTCCCGCACCAAACACCGACCAGGACAGAAATACCCAGGGAAATACCCTCCTCCAGCCCTGCAACAGGGACAAGCTGAGAGCTGCCCAGACGGTATCACCCTGCATCCTAGCTGCACAGCCGTTTGCTTCCCTGGCAAGACCGTGTAATTGCCTCATGCTCAGCCTGACCACAGCATTTGAGCGTCTGAACTGTCCGAACCTGGCCTGAAAGGAAAGTGGAAGTGATGGGACCTTCGCACTCACCAGGCCAAATACATGTGGCTACAAAGACCCACTCCTGCAAGGTGCTGAGTGCCTCCTCAGCCACATGGATGCCAGTGGGAGAGGAGGGTGTTCCATACCTCAGCACCTGACAGGATGAAGTCAGAGGGGAGGAAATGAGGGTGCTGCTGTCTGCCGGGGCCTAGTAGCCTCCTGGCCTTAGCCTTGGTGCTGAACTGGCTCTAGGCTGGCACTGGGGGGGTTCTCGGCCAAGGCTGGGGTCACTAGCCTGGAACCCCTGCTACAGGCCGGGCACAGGAAGGAAATGCCAGGGGGAGAGGAGCTGGACTAGCTGAGCTGTCACACAGAGGCGTCAGGGAAGGGAGCTCTCTGCACCTCGCAGGTCCTGCGGAGAGGGCCGGGAGCACGGGGGAGATTGTAAAGAGCCAGTGACTGTGAGGGTGCTGGTGGCGGGAACTCAAACAAATGGCCCAGTGGACACATGATCAGCAGAGGCTGAGCCGCTTCTGGGGGCGAAGAGGCAGGCACGGCGCACGCCCTCCTAACTTCCACTCCAGCCGTTGGATCGTGTTTGACCTTTCGCTGCTAAACGGAGGGGCCCAGTATTAAATGTCTGTACCCTGTGTAGGTACTTCTAGACTGTGATCACATCACCCCATCACCATCTCTTTGTTATGCTAAATAGACTGAGCTCCTCCAGTCTATCCCTGTAAAGCAGGTTTTCTCATCCTTTAATCGCTCGCACGGCTCTTCTGGGAAGCCGCTCCAATTTATCCCTGTCCTGCTTGCAGTGTGGGGGCCAGCACTGGACAAGGATGCCAGCAGAGGTTGCACCAGTGCCAAATACAGAGTAAAAGAACCTCTCGCCGCCTACTCGAGATTCCCATTCAGGCATCTGAGGATCACATTAGCCCTTCGGCCGTTGTGCTGCACTTGGAGCGCATGGTCAGCAGTTCACCCACCACAGACTCCCAGGCCTTTCTCTGCGTCCCCCGAGAGTGGCACCAGCCAGTAAGTATGGCCGGCATTCTTTGCTCCTGGACATGTACAGTTACATTGAACCATATTAAAAAGCATGTTGTTTGCTTGCCCCAAGCTTACCAAGGGATCCTGATCGCTCTGCCCCAGGACCCTCTCTTCTTCGGTATTTACCACTCCCCCAAGTCTTGTGTCATTTGCAAACTTTGTCAGCAATGATTTTATGTTTCCTGCCAGGTCATCGATAAACATGTTAGTGTAGAGACAAGACTGGCTCCCCACTGGAAACAGACCCACTTACAGTTCCCTTTTGAGACCTACCAGTCAGCCAGCTTTTAACCCACTGAATGTGTGCCAGGTTCGTTTGAGAGCATTCTCATTCTTTAATCAAAATGTCGTGTGGTACCAAGTCAGGTGCCTTACACCAGGCAAAGCATATTATGTCACCACTATTAGCGGTATCACCTGAACACACAGCTGCAGCAAAAACGGGTGTCAAGGGCTCTAGCTTCCTGTAGGGCTCTGGGGAGGGTTTTGGGGGCTCTGGCAAAGTGCAGGGGTGGCAGGCCCCTCCCACTGCAGGGTGAGAACGGGCACATGCTGGAGAAGCCCGGGCCGGGGCCAGTGCAGGGGGTTGTGCTCCACGCTCGTGGCCGAGGGAATATTTTTGCTTAGAATGATTTTACAATTCAGTCAGCAGAGGGAGGCAGCCCAGGCTGGTATGGGGCTGCCCTGGGCACGGAGGGGATTGTTTAAGCTCCGTGTGTTCTTTGGGGGGAGGTCCCAGGGGTGGGTGGGAATATGTCCTTGGGATCCAGTTCTCATGTGTTCACACTGCAAGACGACTGTGCGTCTCCACGAGATGCTCAGCCAAACCAGCACCCGTGCCCCAGGCTCAAGCATTGGGCTGTTGATAATCCAGCCTGCAGCACATGGCTGTAGTCCCTCTGTTCTTCCATGGACAGAAGCGCCTGTATTCGCAGCCACCTACTAGAGACAGGCCGGGCGCAGGCATCGCAAGCCCCTCGCTGTAGGAAAACAATACGGCAAGGAGCTTGCGGCTCCCCTGCAGCTGGAGCGTTCCCGGATTTATTTAGAGTCGTTTCCCATTAACCAGGGTGACTGGGCTGCGGCTGCACCGTGACGCCATCCCCACCACCTGGGGACCGAATCAGGAATACTGGGTGGGTCATACCGAAACGCCCTGTCCGAGTGGCAGCAGAATCTGGAGCTTCACCCCAAGGGCTGATGGCCCAGTCTGGGAATGAGCACAAGGTGTATGAGCTAATTAGAAGCCCAAAGACAGGTGAAGGCGTCTCTTTGGCTGCTGCGTTAAGCTATGGCACTGCCTGGGGAGGCATGGTTGTAGACAGGGGACTGCACAGCTCTCCAGGGGCAGAATGGAGCTGGGCCCCGGGGCACAGGGTTCCCCAGCGGATCAGAGTCTGGCTCAGAGAACCCAAGCCGCTGCAGGGAGCTCTTCTGAACCGTTATTCTGCTGCAGAGCTTGTCTTCTGCAAGGCCAGGCCGGCACTGACCAGGCCATGCCAGTAGTGGGGTGGGTCCCCAGACCAGTGCTCCCTGGTGAAATGACAGACAGAAACTGGGTTTTTCATCCTGTTATTTTTTAATATTGTTCACGTCTAAGAATGACTGGAAATCAAGCCAAGCACTCCCTGGTTCTAGCCCTCCCGCAACAGCTGGGAGCCCGTGAACACAGCAAACACTGTCTGGACAACGTACACGGCTTGCCATTTGCAGCCTTGTTCCTTTTCCAGGCGTCATTACTCTAAGTGGAGTTAACAGCCAGCACTGCTGAGCCTTTGTTTGCCAGGTGAGCGGGTTCTGGGTTGCTGCCCTGAGTGCACATCAGTGGTAAGCTAAGGAGCTGCAGAAAGCAGGGATGGCTTCATCACATCTTCTAAACTAGCAGTAGATGGTTGCTGCTGATGCCGGGACAAAGTAACCCAAATCAACCCCTCTTGCCGGAGCGCGCTCAAACCCCTGCCCTTGGGGCATTAGAGTAAGGCTGATTTGCGGGACAGCAGCACCTGTAAGTGGCATATTAAGGCACTTGTACGCCTGGGCCGCTGGGACATTGAAGGAAATGCATTTTGACGATGGTCTCACTGCGCTGGCTGTGGGACTCCAGGAGCAGCCCGGGCTGGAAGAGCTGCTGAGAGGTGCAAGGGGGCATTGGAAGGGGTGCTGCACACCCTGGAATGGTGCAGGTCATCTGCCTCTAGTGCTCAGCACAGGAGAGCTGAGGTCTGATCGCAGCCCTCCGCTCTGAGCAGCCTCCCCATGCAACCAGCCCCCCGACACCCCACTTCCTCCTCCTGGCCTTCCCCAGCACGGCTCTCTTCCCAGCCTCCACCTTGCCACGGTCCTGGGGACATCAGGGGACAGCCTGCGGCTGACTGACGCCAGCAGTGGGAGGAGGAGACCTAGCAGCATCTCCCCCCCCCCCCCAGATGCACTGGGGACGATCAACGATGGGGGAAAGTTTAGCAGGGCTCAGGCAAAACCCTCAGAGATTGTCTGAGTGCCTGGCCACGCTCCCACTCCCCTCAGCTGGAGTATCAGGCACAGGCTGTGAACTCAGACCTGTGCCAGGGAGAGCAGAGAGATTACAAACCCCACTCTGCTCTTTGCAATGGCCAGCAAAGGAAAACAGCCCGTGTTCCATGCTGGGAAGCACAGTGACCCTTCCCCTCGGGAAAGGCATTTCTGTGCAAACCTCGGTGTTAGGAACAGGCCAACCCCAGGCAAGTTCAAAGCCATCTGTGTCACAGGCTAATACTGTTTTAGGGGGTGGGAGTCAGTGCCAATGTCTGCCCTTCTTGCCTCAGCCAGCTTTGGCTTTATAACCTTCCCACAAGCTAGAAATAAAACATAGCACCCGACTCAGAATTCGAAAGTCTGTCTGGACCCTGCTGGTGAGCCTGGGGGTGGGAAATACCTGACGGTTCTGGGGCCTGGGCTGGGCTGGTCCCTCGGGCTTATGGCACAGAGTGGGCCAGCCTCTCGTGCCTGCACATCGCTGTCAAACACAGCAGCACTGTCTGCTTAGTGCGCTTTGTTGTGGGGAAGGCCACATCGGTCCCAAGCTCATCCCATGGACGCCCAGCCATGGGGGAGCACGCGGATGGCCCAAAGCACACACCGCTTGCCAGGGCCATGGGGAACTGGATGGGCATGTGGGGCTGCTCCCTCCTTCTTGCTGAGTTGTGTTACAAGGCAGCTACACAGACACAAAATATTCTCTCGGCCACTGTCCCTGGGGAGTGCCCGGTGCTGGTGCTGCGGAGGGGCGCTTGGTGTGGGCTTCAGCAGAGGGGGCAGGGAGCACCGTGCTGTATGCAAGACCCCCGAAAGGCCAGGTTGGCAAAGCCAGCTCTTACCCAACGTTCGCACAGGTTCTGCCCTGGGCCAGTGAGAGGGAGTTCTGAGGATGGAATGCTTCTAGGAAGTGTAATCAGTTGTGGCGCTGCCAGTCTGCGCGCTGGGTGAAGTGCTGGGCCAGCTGGTTTGAGCTAGTCTCTAGCTTTGAGAGATTCTTCTGCTCCAGTAGCTGAATTCATCTAATTATCTGCTGTGTCTTTCATTCCCCTTTGGGGTCTCTACTGCAGGCAGCCATGTCACCAGGGGCTGGGCTCTGGAGTAGACCATATAGCTAGCCATTCGCAGACAGGATTGAGGGAAGGTAACCAAGACTTAGACCTTGTAAGGGGAAGGGAAACAGTGGGACCCCAGGGGATGTCCTCTACAAAGAATACTGATGTTGCAAATTTTATGCACATGAAATATCTTGACTGTAGCAGGCAGGCTCTGGGCAGAGTGGGCACCATGCAGGCTGCATGGCAAGTGCTCTGTGGCTGGGGCAGGATGCCCATGGCACCAAGCCACTCGGAGACACGGCACCTGAGTTTCTGTTTGGTGGGCTGCAGCAGGTGCTGCTCACCCTGTGAACGTAACAAAGCGACTGGCAGCAGAAAGGGGAATACAGGAAAAGGATCCTAACTCCTGCTAGCAACCCAAGATGTTCCACCCCCTGGGGTTACAGCTGCAGTGCAGAGCCAGAGCACACCCCTCCCTCCCACTGGGCGCTCAGAGAGAGCTCAGTCCCGTCCAGACTGACATGCAATGAGAGCTCTGCTCACCCCACACTGGCTTGGGCAGTGGACAGCTGGGAGAAGGGAGCAACACCACTCCAGAATCTGGCACCCGGCACCACAAGCTACAGCATCGTACAGGAATACACGGGGTCACTATTTACAGGAGACAATGCAGAGTATAGATCAGTGGCCAGATGGCTGATCATTTAAATAAGACCTTCCCTTACGTGGACCTGCCTGGAAATGCATTGGCGCTATCCCTGGTGTCAGCACCAGGACTTACAGAAAGAGATCCCCTGGCCATTTAGGTTTGGTTACATGAGACAAGCAATTTCAGCAAATGCTGAGGTGGCTTTCAGGAATGAATCTAGGAGGCTGAAACACACTGACCATTGAATGAAAGGGGCTTAAAGCCATCAGTTGGTGATGGAGGAGAATGGGTCCAAGGCTTTGTGGGGACTGAGTGAATTAATACCACCAATGGCTGTGCTTCTAGGGGAGGGTGTATGGGGAACTCTTTCCCTAGCCTCCAACCTAGGGCTGGAATGTAGGGAAACGACGTCCCTGTTACCTCCACCCACCATGTAAAATCTGCATGCGCAGTACTTAGCACTGGACTTAGACAAGGGTGGAAAGCTGAGCCCAAGATGCTGAGGAAATGGCTGGCCTTAGAAACCTAGGGAGAGATCCCATTTGCACCTTCCCCCAGCTACCACCTGGTTCTGGAGGATCCAGGGAGAATGGCTAAGACTGATCTTAGGAGGGGAATGGGATTTGGCTGGTTGGAGAGCTCTTTGGATCCGGTGCTGGGACAGCACAGAGGTCTTCTCCTGCAAGGCACTGATCCAGGCCAAGGCCTGGCTGCACCAGGCCAGTTTGCCTGTTTTCTGGCAACGACTGACTCACAAAGGCTGTTAGAGGTCTGTGGCAGTGGGTGTGCGAGTGTGTGGATTTGTTTGCAGCCCAAGTGCAGAAAAGGTGTGAGGCACACGGAGGCGCCTTGCCCCTGGACACACAGCTAAAAGGGCTTGATGGGGTAGGACCAACATACGCCGAGACACAGGGCCTGCTGCTCAGACCACAAAGTGCAGTCTGTAGGTCACTTGGTGGCCGTTGTCCCAGGCATAGAGGACCTTCTCCTTGGGGTTGTAGTCAATCTGCGTGGTGAAGGAGTACTCGTTGAGGAAGGGCAGCTTGAGGTTGGCCTCAGTGTCCGTGTGGGTGTCGTAGGCATAGGAGATCTGCCCATCCTTCTGGTTGTACACATCCACGGCATACAGGATGCCACAGACGATAAAGCAGTTCCCGTAGGAGTTGCGCTTGAGGCCTGTCTTCCAGGTGGTCTCCTTCTTCACGGAGAGGTCGCTGGGATCCAGCTTGCTCAGGACGATCACCTCCAGCTGGGAGTAGTCATAGTCCACAGAGGGGTAAATGACCCACAGTCCGCTCTCGTCCACTGCAAAGTCGATGTCCGAGTGGCCCCTCCACTTCCAGGGCGTGGTGTCCTCGTACATCACGTCATGAAGCAGGGCCCAGGCAGCCACGAAGCGCTGCTTCAGGTCGTACTTGATGATGTTCTTGGTGAAGGCGCGGTTGTAGTAAAACGCCCCCTGGTAGACCACGTGGCCGGTCCCGATCCAGTTGTAAGGGAGCTTGTACAGGTTGCTCCAACGCCCTGTGGTGAAATTGAAAGCTCTTTAAGGCACAAATACGCCAGGAATGGACCCTTACCTCCCCCGGGCCACATTCCCTCCCCCACATCCCACTGGCCTCTTCTGCACACTCCTTTCCTGCACTGCCAGCGGGCTGCTCCTGCCAGACGGGCCTGAGGGGCCAACCTGCACTCACCTGTCTGCAGGGTTGTGTGTGCACCAGCCCTGTCTGGGCAGGGCCAGGGGGCAGCAATGGAAGCTGGGACTGAGGATGTGACTAGCTACTGCGGCTCAGCAGAGGGCGACTAGAGAAGGATTCTAGGGAGAGCAAACTGCTTTGACCGAGGCAGCTCCAGACCCGACCAGAGCATTCGACAAACCAAAGCCCATAAACCTGCTGGCAAAGCTCCAGCACAAGTTCCCGCCTGCCTAATAGGCACTAACCCTGGGAAGAGAATAAACCAGCTTCTGTTCAAGCTGGAAGAACTCGTGTTTAGGGTTGTGAGCCGTGCAGCATTGATAAGGGCGGTAAGTCCTGCTACAGGCAGGCTCACCACTCACTGCCTGGTGCTAAGGAGAGACCTTCTGGGCAGGTGGCCCCTGCTCTGACCCAGGATGGTGAGTCCCATGGTCCTAATGGGAGAGATTCCCTCTGGCTACTGACTCCGGCCCGGGGCAGGCTCGGAAAGAGTCTGGGTCTGTTGGTGTTTCTCATCCTGGGCTACATCCGTGCTGGATGAACATGGACAGGTCTGGAGGCGGCGCTCAGAGAAGCCCCAGGATAGGTGGGGGATGGATAACAGGGAGGGAAGGCTGAGGGGTCACAAGGTGAGCTAAAGAGCCACGCCCGGGAGTCTCTTCCTGAGTTGACCTGGGCTGATGAAAGCTGTGGGTTCAGTTTGGGGCAGGTGTGGGGCTCAGACCGCAGCCCCGCAATGGGACGGGAGCTGCTTCTCATGTTCAGCCCTGGGAAATCAGCCCCGTTTCTCCACAGATCTGCAGCATCCAGGCCTCATTCCTGGGATGTTCTCCACAGCCAAGTGAACTCATATAACCCGACGTCCAGGTGCCAAGACCTGCCTGATTACCCAGGCGCTGCTCCAGTCTCCCAGGCGCTGTCCAAGCCCCAGAACTTTTGAAAGTACCAGTCTCTCTTGTATCTTGTTTCCACACGCAGACCGTGTGTACGGCTCCCGGCAGCGCTGACCGCCCTGGGCCGCTAACGGCGCAGTCGTGCCAGTCACCCTGCTCAGCTTCCCTCAGCTGCCTTCATCTGCTGTCTGGAAAAAGCATTTCGGTGTCTGCCTTGACATGCAAACGCAGCTCTGGGGACGCGGGGTCTGTCGAGCGGCAGCAATCCAGACGCCATCGGTGGGAAGAGGAATCCGATACGCTGGGCACAGTGTATGTTTCCAGATGTGCTCTCTGCTCCACGAGGCTTATTGCTGAGCCCTACCCAGGCCGTGTGCAGGTTGGGAACAGCCCGGGTAAGTGAGGACAGCTCCCCTGGCCCCCAGCCCACCCCTGCCCTGCCCGAGCAGGGGGCGAGGGAAGCAGGTCAGCCATTCTCCGATGGGTCATTCGAGGTGCTACATGAATTCACTGCAGCTCAGCCTTGCCCCCTTTGTGTGCGCTCCCTGCAACTGCCCTCGCACTGGGGCTTTCAGGGGACCCCTGGGAAACACATTTTATATTCTCACGCAATTAGTAGTTATACTCATCCAATCAGGAGACCGAAACAGCACCGTGTGACCTATTGAGCGGCAGTGTGTCTAGTGGCTGGGGCTAGCCCCAGCCCTGCCCCATGCCTGCTGGATGACCCTGTGCAAGTCCCTCCCCCTTTCTGCAGCTCTGCCTGCCCTCACTCCCTTGTCTTGCCCACCAAGGCTGTGAGTTCTCTGGGGCAGGGTCAGTCTCTCACTCTGGGGTGTGCAGCACCTAGCGCAGCAAGGCTCTGAACTTGGCTGGGGCCTCTGGGTGCTACCAGAATAAAACCGGAGTGAGACCAGACTCTAAGAACCAAGCACCACAGTGTGAATCCCCTAGTCACGATCCCCCACCCCCAAACCAACCCCCAATGTGCTGAGTTATCGGGGAGGCGAGGCTAACTGGGTACATCATTCCCTGCGACTCTGGGGCTGTGTGGGGAAGCCCTCCCCCGGTAGGCGTCCCCGGAGCACCTCACCTTGCTTAAAGTTGTCAAGGCTCCTGAACTCCACCAGGTTGTTGCCATAGTAGTAATTGGTGACGTAGATCCTGTCGTCTTTGGCCGCAGGGTCCTTCATCCACGCTCCCTCGTTACGCCCGTAGCTGTGGTGCTTCACGGGTGGCTCCACAGACTCGATGGTGCCCTCACACTGCACTTCTTTCACTGCCGAGCCAACAAGAGGAGCTGACTGCTGGTCTCCGCTGACTGCTGACCATGTCCTGCTCCCCCAGCCAGCGTTCGGAGCCCTCCCTCAAGGAGACCTTTCCCTGCCCTTGGAGAGGCTCCCCCCTTTTATCCTGCCTTCTGGCTTGTTTCAAAGGCCCAGACAGAGGTTCAAAACAGCTGCTTCTAAGAGCCCCCCTGCCCCAACAAGTCCAGAGATGCTGCCTTCTCCTCACCGTGTGACTGGATTTCGTGCTGCCCGGCTGCCCCAGGGACCAAATCCCTCTAGCCACAGGTCAGGTACAGCACGCACGGCTTCCCTGCCCACCCCCTACCTTCCCAGGGCCCCTCAGCCCCACCTTGGAGGGACCACAGCTCCAACAGTGTCACCAGGGCCCACTCAGCTATGTGCCAGTTGTGGCATGTCCACAGAACAAGTCCCCCAGCTGCAGTTTGGGTCTGGCCCCACTCACCCACCTGAGGGACTTATGAGGTGCCCCCAACCCACCTTGGTTAGTCGCTTCCAGCTCTTTGGTGCCTTCAGCATTGTCCCCCATGGAGAGGACGGTGACCGGTGGGCTCCGGGTAGTGGTGCTGGGGGCCCGGGTGGTGCTGGGGGCCCGGGTGGTGCTGGGGGGCTGAGTGGAGCGGGCAGCAGTGGTCTCTGCCTGCTCGCCGACTCTCCCCTGGGCCTCCGCAGCAGCATAGGACTCGGGGTTCCTCTCCTCTGGTCGGTCCATCCGAGGGCTCCCTTTCCCGGGGCTTTCTGAGGAAAGAAGCAGAGCCCTTACTGCCGTTCCCTTCCCTGGGCTTGGTGCGGTCTGGCAAGGAGTGCCAGGAGGGTGGGCCGGGAGCTGTGCTGAGGAACAGGCCAGGGCTGTGGGGAGTCTGTCTCCCCCCTCCTCCACCTCACCCCCAGTCCCTACTCTCTTTCCTGCGCTGAGCATCTGACTCCCTCCCTTGCCCACCCCATCTCGCCCCCTCCGAGGCAGCCCAGGTCCCACCCCACTGGGGAACTGACCGTGAAGAGGAGGAGATGCCGAGAGTCCCGCCTCTCCCCTACATCTGCAGTGTGGCAGTCCCACCTGTGGCCCCCTCTGCCTTGCTTCCACAGCACACTAGGGGCAGGGGGGACAGAGGCAAGGCAGGAGGCCAGGGGAACCAGGATGCAGGGCCTGGGCTCCCCAGGTTGGATTTCTGCAGCATTTAACTACATGCACCTTCCTTTCCACCTTCTTCGTTAAACTAAACCAGCTGCCCCGGGTCTAGGAACACACTGTGGGGCTCAGAGAAGGGCTGAGCCCACCGGGCCCCACATCTGTGTAAAAAAGGGGGCTGCTTCCCTCTGAAATCCCACTCGCTCCACTGAGTGTGCACACACGGTGTTTGAGAGAGGAGCAGGGAGTGCAGCGCGGGCGGGGACAGGATCAGCGTCCAGGGAATGGATTTACCCCCAGGCTGGAGGCCAGGAAACTTCCCAGCAGCTAAGTGTGGGATTTGCTTTTCAACCTTTTATGCCACTAAACGTAGAGTTGCTCCCCACAGCTTTCCTGATGCATTTTGGTCTTGTCCTGCAGCCCCTCTGCTAACCCAGCCCTGGGCTCCTCACCCTCGCCCACACCCAGCTCTGCTGGCGCTCCTCAGTCCAGACCTGCAGCCCCTGTTATCCCATCCCTGGGCCCCCCTTGAGAAGAGCCCGTGCCCGTCTTGGTCGCTGAGGTGGTTTTGTGATGTGCCCAAATGCTGGAACTCACTTTCTCCTGTGCCCTAAGACCAGGCCTTGAAGCCAAATCCCAAGAGGTAAATGCGGAGTGCCTGGCCCCCTGCACTTCCTGCCCCACAGGAGAGAGCCGGGAGCAGTATGCAGCCCAGGCCCAGCAGGGATGTGCGGGCGGGGGGCACACAGGGGCCGGGCGCTCACAGGAGTGGCTGTGAGGCTCAGGTGGCTCTGAGGGGGAGTAATATGGCAGACTGGTGGGGAAGGGTCTGAGGCTCCCCGAGGATAGGTTGGCAGGGCCTCCCAGGTACACCCTCTGGCTTCCCTGGCCAGCAGACAGTCCTGTCCTCTCAACCACATGCCACGCTGGGCTTGTTGAGGTGCTTGTGCCCACTCCAAGGGGCCTGGGCACTTACCTCGGTTGATGACCAGGCCCTCGGCCTCCTGCTGCTTGGCAGCCTTGTAGTAGGTGATGCCCCGGATGACGGTTTGCTGGTGGACAGAGGGCTTGGGCTTGGCGGTGGGCTGCGATGCGCCCAGTCTGACCCTCAGAATCTCCTTCTTGGGCTTCTCCGTTTTCGGCAGCTTCTCCTTGGGGGCTCTCACAGCTGCCTTGTCCCCCAGGCTCTTGCGGGCGCTGGGATACTTGCTCGCCTCCTTGCCTTTGCCCCTGGCCGTGTCCTAGGAGACAGAGCCAGGCTCAGAGGCACCCCAGTGGGCAGCAGTGGTGCCGTGTCCGGCCAGGCTCTTGCACCGAGTGGGGCCGATGGCTTGGGATCACAAAGCACCTGCTGCAAAGAGAGGGACTCCAGGCAGCGCAGCCAGCAGGAGTCCAGCTCTGGGCACTCTGTGTGCCAAGCCAGGGGCTCAGATACCATGGTGATGGGCCTGGGATGAACTCTGGACAGAACAGAGGCTACCTGCAAGATGGCAGTGCCCAGGGCAGCAATGACGGGATGGAAGGGAGACCAGAGTATGCAACAGGCCCTGACAGACTCTATCAATGGGCCAAAGGGAGTTAATCATTTAGCACAGGTGCTGCCGCCCCGGCAGTGCTACAACGCAGCACCACCTCTGGGCCCTCACTCCTCCCAGCGTGCAGCCCCCTCAGCTCTGCAGGCTGGCACCTGCGAGTGTGTGCGTGGTGATGAGGGCAGGAAGGTACCTGGGCGTTGCTCTCGGGGACGGCAGCAGCGTCCTTCTGCAGCAGCTGGTAGCCCAGGTTGGAGATCTCTTTCTTGATGCTGATCATTATGTCGGAGTAGTTCTCATAGCGCTTCATCTGGTTGGTCAGGTGCACAACACTCTCCTTCATGAAGTCATTCTCCCTGCTCAGGTTCGTCTTGATGGTCTGAGCAAGAGGTGGGAAGGGAACAGGGCGTGAGTAGCTGAGACCTGATAGGGCTTCCATTGTCCTTTGGTTCAGGCAAAAAGTTTCACGTTTCTCTACAAACCGAAACCTATCCCACTTCCAGGGGATGACAACTCTGTCTACTGGCTGGAGCAGTGGGGCTGGGAGCTAGGACTCCTGGGTTCTATTCCCAGCTCTGGGAGGGGGCTGGGACCGGGCTGGACAGGGAAGTACTGTCCTGCTCAAGTCCCAGGGCCCAGAGCCCAATGCAAACAGCCTCTCAGCTGGGTGAGGGAGCCAGCGCTGCTAACCCGCTCAGGCGATGCCTGGCGGTGACTGGGAAGCATTGCTTCTGCAGGCAGCTGAAGGCTCTCTAGGTAGGCGATTCTCTTACTCCCTGCTCACAGTCACTCCCCCAACACCCCCACAATAGCCCCCAGATTGTGCAATTGACCAGGCAGAGCACAACCCCCACCTGGGTCCCTTCCCCTGTCCTTGGCTGTGTTTGTGTCAGTTTCATGGTGAGCTCTAGGGCAGGACCCACATTTCCCCCTGTGTTGGTGCAGTGCCCGTCCCCTCCTCCCCCAGGTAAGGAACTGGCCTGAGGGGCAGCACAGCCAGGCTCCCCGACTCTCCAGGTGACAGAGCCACGTCCGCAGATTACAACCTCTGCTTCCCCAGCCCTGTCTGCCAGCCCTCAGCCACTGAGAGCGCTCCCAGCCCGGCTCACAGCGCAGCAAGGCCCATCACGCCCCTGGTGCGGGGAGCTTGGAGCAGCTGACGCACAAGCCACCAGAACCAGCGCTGGGCGGGGCCCAGTGTAAGAGTGGCCAGCCCTCGCTCAGTCTGGCGGGTGAACGAGGGCAGACTCCCATTAACTCCTTAGCTGCCCTGGGCAAGGACATGCTCTCACAATCACCACGCAGCCCAACGCATCTGTGCTGGGCAGGGGCCAGTCTCGCAGGATCAGATTCATCCCCAGGTGCAGATGTACATTCCTACTGTCAGCCCACCCCGGCCAAAGCCCGGATGCCTGCACAACTGAAGTGTGAGGCGCCTGTAGCCAGCAGCTCAATGAAACAGTGAAACTTGGCTGTCTTGCATCTGCCCTGACAACGGCGAGGAGAGGCCAGGAGAGGGTTAACTCTTCCAGGTCTAATGGCCTCAGTGGATGTTTCCATCCCCAGCCAGAGGACAGGGAGGAAGGAAGTTAGCAGAGCTCGTTTCCTGCTGGTCGGGGGCGTCTCTGTATCCCCTGGCAGAGCGGTGGCTGGGCAGCAGTAGCAGGTGCTGGCTTTTGTATTTGCTCATCTGGCTGCACTGCTTTGGGATGGCTCCGAAACTGCAGTGCACGGGGTCCCCTCTTACCTCCTCCAGAGTATTCATCTGGGAGACCACTTTGTTGATGTATGAATGGACCTTCATCAAATCCATGCTGTACAGCGTTCCCTCCAGCAGGTCAACCATGGACTGCAGCTGTGAAGGAAAAACCTTGAAGCTGAATTCCAAGAGCAGCAGGTGACAATGGGGGCTGCAGTAACAGGGACCCCAGAAGGAAGGAAAATTCAACGTGGCTTCCTGCAGATCAAATTCACACTAGTGGGCAGAGCAACCCGAATGATATAATGCAACAGGACTCAGTGTTGGGAGCACCACGGTCCCGCTACGGTCCCAGCACACGATGCCATAAAGGCAAAATAGGTAGGCAGCAGCTGTGTGGGGCTGAGACGCAGTGTAGAATGCAAACCCGGCGCAGGAACCCACACAGAGAGAATGATGCCCACCTACAATATCCTCTGGGATTTCTCACTACCAATAATCCCAACCCTGATTTTAATTTCATGCCACTTTTCTGTCTCTGCCTGTGCCCCCACCCTGCCCACATACACACACTTCCAGGGAAAGGGCCCCACCTGCCCCAGAGTGTTACAGAACCGAGGCAGACTTAAGGAAGGGGAAATGCGGGGTGAGGAATGATAGAGGGAGGGGACACCACAGGCACTGCTCCCGTCTCTAACTCCGATGAGTCTATAGTACCTCGGCCCGCTGGGAGCTGGGATCAGTCGTGTGCCTTGCAGTGCAGCTGCATAGGAACTGGAAGCATTCAAGGTGAAATGTATCCTTGGGTGGGGATGAGCCCAGGCCTGGAAACTGCCCGAGGTGACTCATAACCTCACTGAGTGACCCTACGGCCTTGGTCTGTCAGACCTTGCCCATGGGGTGCAGGGCAGCCCATGCTCCTCCCTGGCCACCCCTTCAATGTGGAGCCCGGCAGGCCGAGCCGGCAGCCTCGCACAGCTGTGTGGAGGGAGTGAGCAGGGCACACACTGCCTATTGTTAGCTGGTGACATTTAGCCACCAGAAGCTCTCGACCCTGCGCCGTCTCTCACGCACAAGGGCCAATAGAGCCGCAGCCTCCCGGGAAGCCTGCAGGCCCCAGCACAGATCTGCTCTTGTCCGGGAGTCAGCGCTGCTGGGAGAACCTGCTGTCTGGTCTCTGGGGAGCAGGGATTCCTGCACCGTGGAGTCACTGCCAGCTGGCGGCTCTCCCTCCCCCCAGACCTCACTGCTGCCACATGGCCCAGCCCTTCCCGCCTGACATCTGCCCCAGTGGGGCTGGGCCGGAAAGGGCCTTTGCAGGGCCAGTGCAACCCATTAGGTGATATAGGCGGTCGCCTAGAGCGCTAACATTTGGGGGGCGGCGAACGCAGCGGCCGGATCTTCAGCCGCCCCGGTTGTCAGCGGTATTTCGGGGGCGGGACCTTCCGCCGCCTAGGGCGGCAAAAAGGCTGGAGGCGCTCCTGGCCCTTTGTGCTGTGCTGCGGCTGCGATCAGCCCATGATGGGTCTGGCTGGGACCGGGAGTCAGCCTCTTTTCTTTCCAGCCCCCAGGTTTCTGCCCTCCTAAGAAATGGCCTTTCCCACCAGGACACTACATGAGCCTCTAGAGCAGGAGCCCTGGAACCAGCCTCTGGTGCTGGGCTACGAAGGGTTAAACACGCATGGTGCAAGGGAGGGGGTTGCAGCTCATGCGTCGCTGGGGGTTCCATGCACCCAGGGCCGACCGTAGCGTTCAGGGACACGTCAGCGTGGGGGAGCGAGCCGTGGGGCGGAGGCAGAGGCTGGTGTGCAAGACCTGCCTGAGCCCAGGTACCTTGAAGAGCTCCGGCGCCTGCTTCTTCAGCTTCTCCATCTTCCACTCGTTCTCGCAGGGGTTGAGCGAGGAGGGCGGGGCCGTGCAGGAGCACTTGCAGTCGGCCCCCGAGCTCACCGTCTCCACCGTGTAGAAATCCTCCACCCGCATGCTGCCATCCTTGATGCGGCTGCAGGCGTCCTTGCTGAGAGGCCGCAGGATGCACTTGCAGCGGCAGTCGGAGCCCTCCGACGTCATCCGCACTTGGTCCATGTCGCCAAACACCTGGGCAAGGGCAAGAAGCAGGCGTGTAAGGACAGGTGGGACTTGGCCTGTCCTGGGTCACACCTTAGGCTCTGGGGTGCACTGGGGGAAGAGGTCAGGAAGGAATTCCTGGCGGTGTCCCAACGCCTTTGGGGTCCACCAAAGAGCCACCCAGCAGCCAGGTGCCCTGCATATCCCTCGTGACCCTAGGCTGGGGCTCCCCCAGGAAAGTCTCTGCTCTCTGGTGCACCAACGTGGAGTCCTAAAGACCCCACCCACAAGCACAAACGAAGGGCCAAAGCCCCTGCTGGAAGAGTTGCCATAACCATCCTCTCGGCCATCGCCAGAGATGGACCCTGGCTCCTCTAGAGCCCAGGTACGATCTCTGCAGCCTGAGCTAACGGACTAGCCACCCCCTGGTCCATTCCGGGGCCTGCGTTACCCCGGGGCAGAGAGAGTCTCCTTCCCCAGGTGGCTTCTCTGGGAGGTGGGTTTCATGGGAATGCCCATTCTGTCGCAGCACGTTCCCGGGGGTGCAGGGAGCCCGTTCGTTACTCTCGCCTGCTCAGCTCAGCTCATTAAACGCTGATGGGTTGGGGGGCAGAGGAGGGGCAGGGGAGCACAAAGGAGCTTGCACCTCTCCTTCCCCTGCTGACACCCTCCAGGGCCTTTCTCCTCCTCCAACAGATGCCAGGGTGGCTGGCTGGGAGTGGGGCCTTCCTCCTCCTCTTCCTCTGACACCAGGGCACCTGGCTGGGCGTGAGGAACAGGGATTTTCAAAGTGGCCTAACTCCCAATCTGGGCACCTAAGTCCCTTAGGCTCCATCGGAACCCCCAGCCTTAGCCCCGACTGTTCAGGAGCAGAGCCTAGGGAGGTGGGCGAGGCCTGGCCAGTCAGCGACAGCCGCCTCGTGCAGGGTGGAGCGGCTTTGTCCCTAGGCAGCTGCTCAGAGCGAAGGAGCAAACTGGCATTACTCACTATTGCGGCTCAGCTCTGCGCAAGACACAAATACCGAGTCCCTGCCTGGAGCTCCAGCCTAGGAGACTGGCAAACAAGCTGCTGCCAGGCTCTGAGCAAGGAGTCAATGGTTAATTCCCCTCCCCCAGCTCCTCTGCTGGGGGTGTTTCCAAGGCCCCAAAGCAGTGCCTGGGACGACTGCGGGGCGAGCTCGGAAAGCAAGAGGAGGAGATGGAGGAGTGTAAGGCCAGAAGGGAGCCCAGCTGATCCTCTAATCTGCCCTCCTGCCCAGCACAGGTCACCGGTGCCCCTCAGGTCCCGCGCCATTGGCAGCAGCTTGGTTTTATTTACGGGGGACTAAGAACAGCAGCAATTCCTTGTGTTTATAAAGCACTGGGGCTGCTGCCCAGCAACCCTAACCCAATGGCTCATGAAGTAACCCACACGCAGCGCAGCGGAAGCAGCTCATTTATACTGCTCAGAAAAGCCACCGAGAGGCTCATCCGGCCAGAACAGCCGGTCTGAAACCACTCTCTATGGGTCTCCAAAAAGCCAGTTCGTTCTGGTCCCTGGCTGCCCATCTGCCGGGGGCTGGGCACGGCATGTCTGGTACATTTCGGGGGCTTGAGCTGCTGTTCTGGAGAAAGGGAAAAAACTTTTGCGCTCTAGGGCACGACGGTCTCATCATCTCCCAGGAAGGGGCCCTGCCCCCTGTGCACCAGGCCAGCGGGAATGGGGGGCTCAGACTGGCACCCTGAGCTTCTCCCAGTACTCGAGTTGGCATATAAATGTATGTCCCCGTCTGAATCAGAGGCCAGTGCCCTCTCCCCAGAGCCTGCCTGTGTCTCTCAGCCACGGCTGAGCCGCACTGCACAGCGGGGAACTCCTGCCTTTGACAGCTTGTCCTTGCCCTACAGCCACAGCCGGTGGGTGGCCCTTGGCTGCACGTAGGGCTCGGAAAGCCTTGCTTTGGCTAACTCTGCTTTACTCGCTGGGGGATGGGGAAAGGCTGCGGCCATGTTCCCCTCTTGTTCCCCTGCCAGCAGACATCCCTTCTTGCAGTGTAATCCTGGGCACATGTGCAGCTGTCGTAGAGACGATTCCCACACACCACGATCTAAAGCAAGGACCTTTAATCTCCTTTGATGCCCTGGATCTCTCTCTGCCTAGCCTGGCTGACAACATGGCACATCATCTCTGACCCAGACAGGGAAATCCACCTGCCCCAGCGTCCCAGCTCCACGGGTCACAGCAGTTAAACCACACAGCACCACCCCTTGTGGCTGTGTGTGCGGTTTATGGTTATAATTTATTTGACCTACTTCTGTGAAGCGTTTTCTAGCCTACTCTAGGATTTAGCTAACTGGGCAGCGTGTGCAGAAAGCGCCTGCATTCCCAGATATAAGGATACTAAGCTTCCGTTTCTGTAGCACCTTTCATATCAAATGATTCCAAAGCCTTGACAAACTTAAACCAATAAAAACTATACACAGGAAACTTTATTCACCACTAAAATACAACCACCAGTGGGATGGAAATCAGCTCCTGTTTGAGAGCGAACAGCTTCACGCTACCGTTTAAGGCAGGAAGTCGAAGATCATACTGCTTCCAGCCAAGGTCCTGACTGATTCTGTTCAGGGAAGATCTCCGAGTACTTTCTGGCCAGAATTCTCTCGGATTTCCCCCTGCTATTTCAATTGGAAACAATATTCATCATCACTTCCTGCCCTAACCTATAGTGTAGGGCTGTGCGTCGGCTGAACAGCTGCTATGCTTCACCCCAGAGGTGGCTGCATTTCAGTGGTGGGCAAAGTGATTCCAGTATGCATCTCTGCCATTCTATATGATTTGTAAAGCACTCGGGAGGTTTGGGGGTTAGCAGGTGCTTTAGGATAGGTCTACACTTACCTGGTAGTTCGGCGGCAAGCAAATTGAACTTCTGGGTTCGACTTATCGCGTCTTGTCTGGACGAGATAAGTCGAACCCGGAAGTGCTCGCCGTCGACTGCGGTACTCCAGCTCGGCGAGAGGAGTACGCGAAGTCGACGGGGGAGCCTGCCTGCCGCGTCTGAACCGAGGTAAGTTCAAACTAAAGTACTTCGAACTTCAGCTACGTTATTCACATAGCTGAAGTTGCGTACCTTAGTTTGAATTGGGGGGTTAGTGTAGACCTGCTGTTAGAGACATATGGGGATATTACTGCCCTTGGAGAGATCCAGCTCAGACCCTCATTAATCCCAGTTCCCTGTCTGTAATTTGCTTTAGGAAATGGACATTCAGTATTCATCACCTGTTAATTATTAGCACTAAGCTGTGTGTCCTCCACATTCCTCACCCCCTTGCCACTTGCATGGGAATGGAGACTCCAAAGGCTTCCAATGTGGCACCTCTCTGAGGAGCATGTGGGGCTCACAGACTTGTTTTCTGTCAGATCCCTCTCTTGGTTCCAGCCTTGCCTCCCTGGCTGAAAACCTGAGCTGGAGCCAGTAATTGAGAGTGATGTGTGCGCACACACAAATCACACAGGGCTTGGGGCCTAATCAGCTACATTCAAGCTTCTCTCAATTACTGGCCTGGAAAAGCTACTCCGATGATCTGTAGGAGGCAGAACAAGCTGCTGCTCTCACTGGCTAGCTGATGAGGTGTGACACTGGCAGAGGATTTAGAGTTGGCGGTTTAGCTTTAAGCATTCAGTGCCACAGGACCATGTTTAAAGTCTGGTTCTGCTCAAGCCAGTGATCCAGAAAAAATGGCATGTCAGTGCCCCACATTTATCCCCTCAGTGGCCTCTCAGCTTCAGACAGGTATTCCCAGCTGCCGGCTCAGCCCGAGTGGTGGAGCCTCGACTGACCTAACCCCTCTGCTGCACACCGTGGGCCCAGCCATAAGGGTTTCAGGAGGCAGCAGGGAGCCGGCATACCCGAGGCAGAACAGAATCCAAATGCCTTTTCCATGGCTAGGTCTGCACTGCAGGGCGGCAGGAACAAAAACTACTGGCCATACTTTCAAAAGAGCTCAGCACCCAGCAGATCCCACTAGGGATCCCGGAGAATGCCTCCGCCTCCAAACGGAGAACAATGGGAGTTGCTGGGAGCCGAGCACTTTTGCACTGGAGAAAAGTCAGACCTGGCGCATTGAAATCAACGGAGCTGCACTAGCCCCTACCCATTCATACAGGGGCTCATTTTTCAGTGGGAACCCCATTGCAGGACAGTGGCATTTCAGGCTCCAGCACTGTAGGGAGTAGGCATGATTGATAAAGGCCCATTTTCAGACTGCTGTGTAACTCTCAAAGCCAGCTAGGCAGCAGGCCAGGCCCAGCAAAGGGCACTGCACCTTTGAAAGGACTTGCTAGTCTCAGGAGATGCCAGGGTCCCAGGCCTGGTCAGCAGAACTGGCTTCCTAGTTTAGGCGAGGCAGAGTGAAAGCTTAAGGGCTGTCCCAGGCCTACAGTGTCTGCTGATGCCTGAAGAAGAGCAGGTTCCTTCCCAGGGTATTGCACAGAAACCACTGGGAGCAGAAGAGGGTATGGAGGCTGCTACTGCACATGGCGTTCATTCCTGCGGCACAAGGCTGCCCTGCAGACGGCTGTTTATAGAGAATACTGTTCAGTGGCAAGAGAGCCTAGAGCGAAGGCTGCTAGAGAAACCTCAGGGACCAGCGCAGGGGCAGGAGGGAGTTGGACTCTTTCTGCATTCCTCAATATCATCTCAATTCACACACAGCGCCGGGTTGGCACCAAGGTCATTTTCACAACTGTGAATCCGTAAATCCCAGCCAAGGCCAGAGTCCAGCCTCTTCACATTGTGTTCTCATGGCCTGGAGGATCTCCCCAGCCGTAAGCAGGTTCTCAGCTGGGGTAAATGGGTGCAGCTCCATGGAGCTGGGCCCACTGAGGCAACAGAGGATCTGGCCATATGTCTGAGGGGAGAGGAGTTAAGGGGGTGTAAAAGTTTCCATGCCCTCAACCTTCATTATTTTTCTTTATCGCAATTATGGCCTAGTTCCAAAAGGGTGAGTGACAGACAATTTCCCCAAGGAGTGCAGGGGTCTGTGTGTGTGTG